ATAAACAGAATGATATAGAATGAAAAAACCTTTTGGTGTAGAATTTTACATCAACATAAGTTGTTGCATTATAATTTCATATATTTGAAAAATAAATGTTGCGTCTATAATTTAGCGTTTTGACAACATTAATAACTAAATTGGCCATAAATCTGACTGTTATGATACCTGTTTGATTAACTGTAGTTCGAAATATCAGCTAATAACTATTTGTCTGTTACAACTGTTTACTGTTCGAAGCATAAATATTTTTAGTCGTAAGTCCAATTTAATAAGAAATTTCTGATTATCTGGTGTTTATGGAAAATTGTTGATAATCCTAAATCAGTTACTGTTTCGCTTCACTGTTTCTAGTAGCTCTGCAATACATTGAATTTGAATTTTTTGCTAATAACAACGGTTTTTCCGAAAATCGTTTTGATTTTCCACCTTCCTTTAGTCTTTTCCGATAAAATACAAAACCACATATAAAGCTTCAAGTAGTAAACAGTTTACGCTTTGGAAATATTTTATTTAAGCAATTACTCGTTGATAGGATTATCGAAACTTTTAAAAGTTGCCATAACCGTAAGCTTTTTGCGGCGTCTTTAACTAGGCCACTGCTCCAAATACACTATCACATGTAGTATAAATAAGCACGTTGATTGATATAAATGTAATTATTTATTTACAAGCATGTCCAGGTTGTAATGAGCTTCAGTGATTATTAAATTATTCAGGATATTATCCAGAAATATAATAGAATATTTTTCCTAACGTCATGATTCTGGTAGGACAAGAATTAATTTTCTAAAGTACTTTAAATAGGCATACGAGAATACATATATCAATAAGTTGCACAGAACAAGTAAATAACCGGCCACAGAATATTATAATTTAGAATAACTAAATGAAAATTTTATGGAGCATAACAATGCAGGTGTTTCTTATTTGAAAGTCAAATCAATTATATCAGCGAATTGTAAATTCGAATTTTGCTAAACTTTAAATCGAATTTTTCGTTAGATAATTGGTAAAGCTCATCATGTGTTCATGTTCGGTGTCCGCAGCAAATCGGCAATCAACGCAATTTTTAAAGATCTGTAGATTTGTTTTCATTGCCAAACCCAAAAGTGTGGGATTTTAATCAGTTTATATCCGCTTTTTCGCGCACGATGTATAATTAATTACCTTACATATTTTGTATTGAATCTATAAAAAACAATTAATCTGACYCGTTGTTTAAAAAAAAGTCGTTTTAAAAAAAAAGGAAATACTTAAACAAGAAATATACCTACTAACAAAACTACAGTAGCAACATACTTTTGTACTTTAAGCACTTTTTTATTATATTTTTATTAAATCTGCCACTAATTTAAAATAGAGACATTATGAAAGGTCGAGAAATAATTAGGGTGACAAAAAAATGTRTCGCATTGGATAACAGTCAATAAAACAAACAGTTATGGCAAATCAAAAGAAAAACGCTTTTGTGGCAATTATTTGAAACTGGTGAGATTTTCGAACCTTTAGGTCGTCGAAGATTAGAATATATTTCTCGAAAGTACACACTGTCCTTTCCAGCAAACCACTTCTGAAGAAGAGAACCGCCTTCAAATTTTTCTTCATGATTCCTATATGTGGTATTATTTTCCGGTCAATCAAAAAGGCACAATAAGTAATTAATGTAATAAGAAAGTACCTAGTAAGTATTAAATCTTTTAATAGTTTATGTAACTTAAAGACACTTCTTGCTTGAGTATCCGAATTTTTAAAGCCTTAAATAAATCTAGAGTGTAAAATAATAGCATGTAATATTACTGTTCAGCCTTGCTAAAGTATAAGAAGCAATTTCGAAGAAAATTATTATTGAAGCATTTGAATATTTTTTCCAGTAATTTATCACCCAGGCAACTTTAGTACATTAACGGAAAAACTGATTCAGGGGGTCTAAGCAAATGTTTATGTGTACAAACGTGGCGTGAAATGTAAAAATTTGCTTCCGAAGTAAAAACCCCGACTAGGTTAATGAACGAGAAGGAAATTGACGTCTGAAACAATGAAATACTTTATGAAGCGTTTGATTCAGCCGCTTGTTGATATTGTGCAATAGAAAGTTTTATTGGAAAGTCATGATTCATTTGAATTGAGAAATGTGCAAAATATTCATGACTCCAAAGAATACGAGTGAGGAAACTCGGGTTCTCCTAGTAAGACTTGAATGTTATACGATAAATTATAAACATCGCTCAAAGTCCACATTTTCAAGCAAATAAATTTGGAAAGGTCGCACTTTAATCCTCTCTGTATGGCTTTTTGTGATTTATACCAATACAAGCCACAATGAAACTGATGAGCTTCAGGCTTTTAAGCCGTCTTGGAAAATAGCTTCTTGCAACCTCTGAGGATGCAAGTCACTCGTGTTGACCAAACGTCAGGAAAAAAGTTTTCATGGTGGCCTCAAAGCCTGGAAAGCACAAGAGTTTCACGCAATGACTGCAAAAACCGTTTGTCCAATGCAATTCAGAACGGATATAGAACGCATATTTTATTCATCTTTCGAAAATGTTCTTTGGTCAGGTTTATGACGATTAAGATAACGTTCACTATAGACACGAACTGTGCCGCGAACATGTTTTCCACGCTGTCCATCTAGTAACATCTAAATATTCTTGAGTGGCAAATGTAAACTGCATTGACATGTAGCTTTTTTTCAGATCGATTTGAAGGAGGTTGTGATTCGAAAAGCCAGAGCATCGTTACGTATTCAATAGCTCTTATCGTTTCCCAACGCATCATTGAAACAAAATGTTGTTTTATTTTAATCCCACAAACAAGAATACTTATGATTGAATAATTGGTAAAGTTTATCATGTGCTTGATTACGATTTCCGAATCAAAATTCAAGTCGTTGTTTCTCATTTAGTTACATGCACTGTTTTTTCAAAACTGTCCTATATTATCCTTGGCGATGGTAACAGTGAAAGGCGATTCCTCAAGTTTTTTCGGTTCAAACCATTACGCAAGATTTAGTGGTATGTAATCAGGAAAAAACCCTCTTAAATGCAAATCCCAAAAATGTGTGTTTTTACGGAATTGCAACAGAGACAAACTGTCGGTACACATCCGCGTTTTGGCGCACTATGTATATATAAGTAACATACAGGGTGATTTAAAATTGGCGTCATTCTTCTCGAGGTGTTGTCTGGCGGTGTTTTAAGAGTACAGAAAAAAGTAGTAAAAAAAGTAATTGTTGTTAAAACCTGAGAAAATTGCCAAAAACGATTTCTCTACTAAAATTGATTTATTTTTAAATATGTTCCACGCTATTTGCAACGCTATCGGTCTGGAACTCTATCGATTTCATTTTTGTATACTTTCATATGTTTTTTTTTATTTATTTACATTGTTAAATTATCTGGAATGATTGTCCTGCAAGGTTTGATTAGCAATTAATTGCTTAGTTTGATCGTGAATTTAATGGAAAATTGATTTATTTAATAAAATGAAATCGTAATATTTCAATCAATTTTCCAGTAAATTTAGGATCAAACCAAGCAATTAATTATTAGTCAAACCTTGCAGGACCACCATTACAAAAAATGTATATAAATAAATTGAAAAAACAAACATTTTCAAAAAAGAATTTGGTGAAGTTCCAGACGATAACATTGCAAACCGCGGAGGAAATATTTAAAAAATGTCAAAAGAGGATTAGTGCATCAACTCAAAAAAATCAGTTACAAATTATTCTAGCTACCAAATAAAATGTTCTCGTAGCTTTTGTACCAAGACACTCCAGAACTCCTCACTTGCCAGAGGTGGATGAACTCAGTTGCTTGATTAAAACAGGAGTATTTTTTTAAAGACATAATAAATAACTTTGACACATAAATAAATTTGACCATCAATACCAGAGGAGCCAGACATTCGTTCTTAGTAAAGTTAGGTCACATCGTGTTCTTTTGATCCTAACAATATCGCATTTTGATCTTGTTAGAATTTAGATAACGTAATACGTTAAAGCTCTAGAAGGTTCTTATAGTTTCGAGATTGAAGAATATGCAGTAAGTAAAAATATTTGTACAAAAAAATTCTCGAAAATAAAAGCGAACTAGAAAACAAGACTCGATATGACGAAACTATTTGTCCCCTGTTGTAATATCAATAATCTGTTGTATCCTAACAGGAGCATAGGAAATAAGACGCAATTGATAGTACGGACGCAATAAAGTATATTTCTGAAAAGGCGGAAAAAAGTTGTAACTACCGCAAAACCAGTTATGCAAATCCTCAAAAATAATCAAGATTGTATTCTCGAAAACGGAATTAACAAACCATTTACAAATAGCGCCAGTTTCAATCGGTGGCGCGTGTCTGCGTTTTTGCACGCGCTTTCATAGACAGGTAATGACTACAAAAAAACATTTCATCAAAAATTCAGTGGGCAAGGTTGAGACCGCCATGTTCTTTAGGTGTGAAGACCTTGTATAGTGACCTCGTTGGAGACCTCGCCGTATCAAGGTCCATCGCGAAAGTACTTCTCAGTCGGCTCACCTAGTGCACTACCTTGTCGAAGAACTACGATCACCGAAATTAGTATTGAGCATTACGGTTCTTCGCGTTTTTTTTGTTCATTTTATTTTTGTCTCGGAATTAAGGTTGTTTTCTGCCAAGCGTCACGTCGATTATTGGAAATCGACAGATTTTTGTAATGCTTAACTGAACTTTGCAGGTCAGTTTGAATATTCAAATCCAATCTGGTGTTCAATAAAAATTTCGGGTCTCACTTTGGCACCTACGAATAACCATCCAACCGAATTTATGTTGCTGGCAAAGTCCGTGTTTTGTCTCCTGCATATATCATGGGCAATAATAACTGCCTATTAATTCAGTTCAAAATAATTGTAAAGGGATCCAAATTCATGCCTTTAATATACTGATGTTAATAAGCTGTAAATGTGACCCTAGTGCAGCAAATAATATCAACATTAATACCAATAACATTATTTTTGTTATAGATTATCACACGTAATGAAAAGGGGGTTCGAGGTTACTGCATGGCTTATTTGCTGGCATTCGACAAACATTTCAATCTCGTCCTCGACAAGGTTGATGAAGTCTGGCATAGGTCAATTAAGGTCAATAAAAGCCCGTTATTGATAGGTAAGTTACGTAAATTACGAAAAATTGCACATAAACCAATCAAATTAAGATGACCGATCTTGGAACATTAACAGAGTTCAAGAATGGGTGTTTTCAAAACTCTAGGCATTTTATTGAATTTTTCGCTCCTTATCTTCGAAAGTTGTAAAATTGGAAGCCATCCATGTTTCCTTTCCTTAACCATTTCATAGAGTTATTTAATAATTAACCTGATACAAAGTCCACGGGGTGTAAACTGCCTTTGGAAAGTTTTCATTTAATATGCAGGTAATTTTTTGAGATCTCGAAGAAAACGCGACTTTATGCTTGATGGATTTACTTAAAATCCATATGAACAATATGTCATTTGAATAAGAATAAATAATTGTCAAGATACTGCCAAGAAGTCGAGTCAACTAAAACAAGTTGATTTTGTCAAATCATGGTGGGTGAGAGCGAATTGGAACACAGGTTGAACTTTGGCAACAATTTAATATTAAGTATTCCGGAAGGCCGATTACATAATCCGTCTGGAAAAAATGAAGGACTGATTTCCAGCCATCACTGTATTGTAGTAAAGTTTTTGTCGATGTATTCCGTCAATATCCTTTTATTGTACCCACCTTATTCAGCATGCTATCTTCGAGAAAAACAAAAGAAAATAATAAGTATTTGTTATAAGTTGTTCAGATTTCAAATTTAGTTACCCATAGAGGCCCCAAAAAAGTTGCAAATCATACTTTTATTTCTTAATGAAAGACTGTATATTGATTGCGCTTCTATGAGACCGAAGAACAAAATTGTAGGTCCACTTCGAAGTGATTCACGCTCCATAATATGATCTACCACATAATCAAAAGATTATGTTTGCTACTTAACACAAATTTATTTTTAAGGTAAATTTATACAGGGCATTAATTACGTCTTAAAATTCAATAAGTTTCGACTTAAACACCCTGTAAGTTTAAAATTTTCGATTCATAAAATGTCTAAACTCAAAATTGTTTCCTGGATTGTGACTTGTTACAAACGAGAAATTATAAGTCTTAATAAAAACTCATTTTTTATTAGAAACCCGGTTTTTGACCTCCTAAAAAGTCTTAAAAAAACTTGATGAATGATGAAAATGCATCGATTTACTCATTTATTTATATATTTGACATTATTATTATTTGTTCTATATTTGCAGTTATTATGTTTTTACTAATTCTGTTTAACTAACTGTTTCTGTTTCTTTTCTAAGTTTCTAAACTCAGTAAGTTAAGTACTTATTTTTTAAAATCAAAATATCGGTTTATATTATCACTTTTAACTTTTATGCAGAAAGGCAATTAGGTGAAACGCGATTAGTTTTGAAATGTAACGTTAAGAAGTACATTTGAGTCGAAACTTATTTAGTTTCAAAAGGTAAATTTTTCCACGTTTTGCGTAAATTTACATTGATATTAAATTTGCATTAATCAGAAAAATATTCCTTCTGGCAATGTAAATTAAGCAGTCTGAAAAACTATTAGAGCGGTTTTACAATTATCTGAATTTTAAATATTATACCAAAATGAGTTTACATGTTCTATATAATTCCTTATTGAAACTTACCTTCATCATATATTTGGTTTGTAACTTTTTAAAGGTAAAGCTGAAACTAAATTGAAAATTTGCTCGTTTAAAACTATATGCGCCCAAAATGGAATAAGGTGGGCGACCCTATACATGTTTTTGTATTTCTCATTTGCAAGTTAGATCGAGATCTAATAGGTTCGCAACTGGTTCCGTACTAAAACCTTTGTACTTTTACAAATACGTGATCAGTGACCAGCAAAGTATTATATATACGTATATGTACTTTAGAGATAAGACAAAATTGTTTTAGATAACAAAAAATTCACTGTTTTTAACAAGTCAAAAAATAATTTCAAAAGTCTACAAATAGCAGCATATCAGTCAGATTCAGTCAAAAATTGCAGTTGTTCAATGTAACAGAAATAACAAATAAAACTTGAATAAAATAGATTTTTTCCAAGAAGTAATTAACGATCATTCGGATAGCAATTTAAAAATTTGCGAAATGACGATGAAACTGATTTTTTAAACAATGTCAATTTGCAATGCTTTAAAAATGCTATTTTTGTMTGATTAGGCAACATTTTGTTTGAGGAAGCCTGAATATTAACTAGTTGATACCTGAATTTTGGAGCCTTTTATTATTGAGAGCACGCTTAACRCAAAAAATATGTGATTATGAATCTGAGTCTAACTGGTTCCAACAGGATGGAAGTCCTTATGCCGCTCGCAAATACATCGTGATTATCWCAATGCTATTAACCCAAATAAACTGATCGAAAGAAAGAGGAGGTTTCGTTTCCAATCGCCTGCAAAATATCCGGATCTAATGTCATTAGATTTTTTAAATAGATTTACAATTTCACTTGCCTATTGGGGATGATTAATGGTTAAAATTTTGATCATATTATTTAACACTTATTTACTGTTAATGTTTCTTTTTTTTTATTTACCATAATATTAATATAATGCTTGCAAGTAGGCATAAACCCAGCTTTAAAAAACATTGTAAACCATGCATCAATATGCTGAATAATCGTTAATCAAGAACTACCCCTGTTTAGAACCCCTGGTTTTATCGATTTGTTGAAACACATAGATACTGATGAATAGTATCCATTATTTTTTTGTATCAACATAGTATTTCTTGAAATTATTGCAACCGTTTGCCCAAAAATTTTTAACTTTAATATTTTTTTTAATATAATTATACACAAGTGTTGTCATTTTCTTAAAAAAAAATTTATTTGTTGTTCAGATTTGTGTCCATAGTATGACTAATACATGATTTGAATCACAATATTTGACTGAAAACCGCAGACAATGCAAAACTTTGCTTTTCAATCCACCAAGCAATTTTGAATTGTTTGTAGGGTACCGTATATTAGACCGGTGAATAAAACCAAAACTGCACAATTCTATAAATCAATGACATTAAACGAGAAAGCGACGAAGTTTTATAATTTTAAGCCATCAATTTTATCTCAGACAATTTTATTGTTTAAGAAAATTATAAAATGTGGAGTTTTGTCTATATTTGAGAAGTTTACTTTACGGCTTACACGAACTTGCCTCTTAAAGAGAGAATATGACACATTCATTAAGATAATTCGAGGTCATAAAATTTGGTTGTGGGTTTGTTGCGTTAGAAGCCTTTTAATATTTTAATCTATAAATTCTAATCATCTCAAAAATGTTCACGTTAAGTAAGTATGATAAAATAGCCCGGCGATAAACAAATGCCCTCGATATTTGCTTTTCTTGCATAAATCTGGAGGAGAACATAGCGAAAGCATTAGAAAATAGTGCAACCATGCTCAATTGATGCATTTTATGCACCCTAAAAATTTTCAAAAAATGTATCAATCGGCTCAGAAAGTCATATAGTTTTGGAAATTTGATGAAAGCCAACAGGTCTGGAAACTTGTCCACGGCAACTCCGTTAAAAGCCCTTTAAAATATTTTGGGGCTAAATGATTCACTAAAATTTATTGGAATTCTCTATATAGGGCATCTCTTTTCATTAGAATTATAAATGTTTAATTATAATATAATGGTAATCATTAGCGGAAATACAACTGGGTTTATTTATAGGCATGTTCGCTTATTTATAGCATTTAGTCTTGTGGTATATAGCTAAAAGTTATAGTCAAATGCATGTAGCGATAAAAACGTACAAAAATAAGCACTTTAATTGCATGCACTTGTTTACGAGCTGGACCTTTTTAGAATTGCGTCAATCTAGTACGGTCTATTACAATAGTTTTTTTTACTTCGGTGGTTTTAGAAATAATAATGATTAATTACTATTACTGTATCAAAAAATTAATTTTACTGATAATTCTTGTTAAAATAATAACTCGACTCGACTATCTTTGGTTATTCAGGGACAATAATTGTTTACTTGTTCATGTATTTTGAAGCAATCAACTATTTACGCAATAGCAGATCTGATTTTTATATTGTATACATAAAGTGCCAAATTGTTCAAATATTGTTCTATATCCATCTGTAATTAATGACAATAATTAATTCATATATAATTAATAAAATCTTTATATTTGAGACACGCATTTTGACATTTCAGATTCGGTCCCAGAAAATATCAATAGCAGCTCAAGAAAACGTGCAAATATACCGACAATTGAGAGGAAAAAAATCAGTAAAAATACTGAAGAATGTAGAAGACACGTTAATCAAATGTTAATGAGAGGTGAACATGTAGTCTTAATATGTGTACCTAATGCTGAACATACCAAGTAGTAGATAGGATATATACTACTTCTATTTGTTTTAAATCTCTTTATAATGCTTTCTGTGCATATTTTTCAGATGTTGTTATGTGAGAATGAAACATAGGTGGTTTTTTTCTGGCTTAATGTGTGTTTTATTCCTTCCTCATATACATGTATTTTTAATGGAGTTTGACTTTTAATAGAGTTTAATGCAAACAAGCAGCAGAAGCAGTCTTGAAAAACTACAGAAATGTTGCGCGAATATTTGGCATTAACTTGAAAAAACCTCAGTTGCAAGTAATGGTTGCTTGTTGGTAAGCTAATGCAACGTGAAGATTTATACTCAACGAGCAAACAACTGGAAAACCCTCGTGAGCGTCCAAAGGTAAGTCAAATTAAATTAGTTCTAATTTAAGTAAAAAGCATCTTGAAGTAGTGCATTTTCGTCAACATTAAGAATGTGCCACCCTATAAAATACGGAACCCTGATGTACAGCAAAACATAAAACAATCCAAGGTTGGCGTCAAGCTAGTTTATATTTTTTAGAGTGGTTTTATTAGATTACTATTTAATATCGCAGGCCTTCGCGCTGTGAATTATTGTTTGTCCTTACTATCGAAAATAATACGTTATAGTTAATAGTTTTTCAAATGCAAGGTACCGAACTTCGCTCAAATGTATTTTCTGAAATCCAGAATTTATGATTGTCCTGGGCGCCATGCCAGAACGGTGTACTTTATTGAAATGTCTCATTATTTTCAATGGTTATTGTATTGCACTTGAATTGCACTCAAATGTAGGCCAGCATATTGCAGTTGGCTCGATAGACAGTGTCAAATAGAAGCAGCTAATGAATATTTCCAATTTTTATTATTAAAAATATTCGATAATGATATATAAGTTTTTTTTATTTAGGGGAAACATTTCCAGTTCTATTCTCTCGTGTCTACTTTAGAAGAATTTCACCGCAAAATGGGGGGCAATTGAAAAATTAATATTAAAAGAAAGATACTTATTAACATCTAAATATCTCCGAAACTTCCCAACTCAAGATATGCATTTCGTATCAACGTTAGAATAAAGTTGTTGTTGTTAGAAGAAAAAGTTTGTATAATTTGTAAGTACCTAAGGCTCGTTGACGCATCGAATTTGATGACGGTGTAGAAAACTAATGAAAATGGAACAATTTGAGAGGTGTGATCTGAAAATGTCTAACATTATTGGAAAAATGGTTCCTGGTCAAATATCCAAAGAATCTTTGTTCATATTTCTTGTCTCTTCTATCTTAAAAATGTAAATAATCACCTCAATTGAGACGTATATTTATTCATCCGCACCATGCGTTAATACTAAACAAACGTTGAAAATTGTGAGCAGAGGACTGGGACATATGAGCTTATTTTGAGTTTCTAGAGATATTTTTCAAATATTTCCGTTTCCTCCTGAATCACCCGGTATATTTACTTTACCCCTTGTGGCAAAATGCGGAACCACCCTAGAACACACCTTTTTCTAAACGTTCTCATGTCGACTACTAATGAGACACCCTGTATATTTTTTTAATAACGCGTTCGCTTAAAATAACTGAATCAGTTTGCGTAAATCTCAAAACTACTACACACATATAACGATTACTAACAGAAGCCGAATATTCTCGAGATTTTAACATTTTTGGGATAGGTTTTTAATGGCCCATAAACAGAGTTTCTCAAAACATCAGCGAAAATAAATCGATCTAAATGTGAGTTATCAACAAATAATTGTTAGTTACAGTGGCGCAATGTTACATTAAGTGCTTTTGAAAATTGTTAGTGGTATTTTAGTAAAGGTAGTATTTTAAGCTCGATAACCGTGATAGCAGGCTGATGTGCTTTACACACAATAAATGTGGATATTCATATTTCATACAGTGGAATATGCACATTAAAACACCTCGTTATCAAGCCTCCTTTTTTAAGTCCTGGAATTTATTGTTTAAAATATCTATCTGTGGTAACTTATACTGTGATTGCATTCCGTACTGAAAACTATCTAAGCCATCACTATAAAACTATACAAAATTCACTTACTTTGATATGATTTGATTGATATAATGATTCAACGTGTGCTATATATATATTTCAGATATATCTGACATACAAAAAGTATTTTAATTTTTATGAAGATAAATCAACTGTAACCTAGTTTCAGTGGATTTTACAATAGAAATAACATTTTTATTATGCATCATCGAAGCGATTTATCAGCTCCGAGCTTTTAAATCGTACGAACATGGTGACAGAAGGCATTTATATAAAAAACAAGGCGTAGAAAATCTGTTATTTTGAGCAACGAAAATTTGTATTTAAATTCAAGTGTGCGTCCCTGACATACAAAAAAAAACGAACTAAAGACGGCAAAATAGACAGAAATGAAAATGTGGAAGAATTCAACTTTCACTAGCTGTTGAGTAGTTGGTTCGTACGCACTGCTGGAAAAAACATCTAAATGTTAGTTTTAGCAAGACGAGTTGTATAGAGTTACGTAAAAGTGAAGTAGTTTGTAGTAGTTGAAAGCGAGGTTAAAACGCAATTGAAAAACAATGAAACTATTATGGAAGCTTTAATACTGATAGTATGAACTATCTAAGTACAATATTATCAATAATAATTTAACAAAACTGTCCAAGGCTCTGTCGCTGATAGCATGTCAGAAAATTCATTGATAAGCGACCTCTTTCCAATAACTTGATAGCAGACGTTCACAAATAATATTGCTTTTCAAAATACATGAAAATATAATTTTTGTGCAAAAAAAATGTACTACATCGTTTTAAACTAGCTGGTCGACGAGCGCCACACTGGAAACATCAAAATCTTAAGTTTTCTCAATTAATTAAGATACTATAAAATAGTAAACCTGGTAAATAGTTAGGCAGGTTTTAGAATTATTTTGAAGCAGAAGTAAAATTTGAACTTTAATCACTTTTTTGACAAAAAATAATTACGACTTCTCGCCAAAATAGCACTCGACAAAGCAAAAAGTATTTTCATTTCTAATTTTCTCTAATTAGTTACTTCAACCTTGCTTCAGTTTAAGCACCTTAATACTTTAGTATTAATTAAATCTGTTCAGTTCTGAATATTGTCGCGTAAAAAACGCAGTAGCACCAATTAGAATGAACAAAAAATAAGGTATCGCTGTGGTAAAACTAAGATTCCGAATGAATAACAGAAACGAAAGTAAAAGCGCTTATTTAGATAGGTGTCCAAAATATTTTATTTTCACCAAAACGAGTATGTTACACTCCAATTACTTTGAAGTAGTTATAAGCATATACTTTCCTTCGCTCTTTTCGACATCTCCATAGACATTAAGGCGGTGTATTTCGACATTCTTGAATTTACAGATGGAGAAATGGTATGTTTGGTTATTGCGTAAACGCAATGTTGTTGAAAGCAAACATTATCATTCCGCTGCTTTTCTTTGATATCAGTTAGAGTTTTCCATGTTTTCACCATTTTATTAACAGTTTTCTAATAAATGAAGTCGTAAATGGATAATCGGGATCAGAACATATTTGATAAACGTTTTCTCGCATTTTGTTCGTATTATTTTCTTTCATCCTGTGTATAGTTGTACTCCAATAGTGTCCGTCGGAAAGCTGAAGACATTTGAACCTTTGAGAATAAGTGTTGAGATAATTCAGATCTTTAACATTTCTGTGCCTACTATTCACCACTTATTTTCTGGGTACGGGGTGATACCAAAGCAACCGCCCTGGTGTATGCGAAGGAGGAAGAACTGGGAAAAGAATAATCTTAAACATATAACAATTTGTACTCGAAAAATGAAGGAAAGGGCCTACACAAGTAGACATATTATCGAGGCTACCGAAGATTAAGCCACAACTAAAAATTGTGCACAATCATATTATGAGTGGTCGAATTTTCAGAGAAAGAAAAAAATCAGATGCTCATAGACACAAGGAACCGGCTTGCGGTATATCTAATCTTTAAGTATGGGCGGAGCGATGGATGTCTAGCGATGGATCTTTAAGGGAAGACTTTTAGGAGAAGATATTGCAGATATCTATCGCAAAGCAGTTTAAAGGGCCTCAGCAATCAGTACCCTGAAAGAGCTGCTAAAATTTATCACAAAACCACTAAGGAGAAGTGTGGTTTTTACGTGTCACGCTTTCTACAGAAAACAGATTTCTATGATGGATGAGTCTTTCCTATAACTTAACTAACAAAGAATGAGCAATATTGAATTTATACATAATGTTAAAGAAAAGAGAGACTGAAAGTGATCAAGTCCAAAATTGCCGTTTTTGTGTTTGTTGACCAAGTATGTAATTTAAAAAAATAATATATTTGTCTTAAACAACTGACGAAGTTGCCCAAGGCCACACAAACAGGTGCACTGCAGTATATGTTTTTAATGACTAAGTTTCCAAAATATTCTGATATAATTTTTGCCTAGCTTTAATTGATATTTTAAACTTGGTCAATTTTAGCTTTAAGCCCATATTATATTCAAATTCAGTATATTCAAATAAAAAATAAATCGAACCGGAAAGCAATATTTCAAACTACGCCGGCTATCTTTAGTAGAAATTTATTATTTCGAAAAAATCTGCCAAGTTCGGAATAATCTAATTCTTGCACAACCCGGAAGCACCAGCAGTAATTCTAAATTGGTTGATTTTCTTATTAACATAATTTTAGTAATTTATACTGCAAATTATAATAATTGTCTACTACGCAGTAGAAAATTGCTCATAAAGTTTAAAAGCATATATTGTCTATAAGTTATAAGTTGAGATTTCGATCGTCGGATCGACGATCCGACAGTTGAAAGCCTGAATATATTTTACTAAAATTCCAGATTTTTTATTTGTATATTTATATTTCAACAATAATTGTTTTCGGGCGTTTTAAGACGAATCAATCATGTACATAAATATAATAAAGCGTGCGTTTTTTACCATATAAAGACTGTGTGTGGTGTCAATTTTCGTTGTTGTTAAGTTGCTAAAACCTCATCTATGACATGTTTAAGTACTAAGAAAAACATAAAAACTTAGAAAGTCATCCGTATTTCCTAGTCTCTATTCCCATCTAACCGTCGAGAATAATTCTCATTAAATCTTATTAAAATGTGTTCTTTCAAGCAATTAGCTCCTTGATAAATTTTCATAAAATACAAAATAGATCTCATAGTTACATTAAAACAGACACAAAAGCCAAAAGTGGCAGAACGAATTTCCTTTGGGTTTTGAAAGCACCCAGTGAAATAAAATATTCTATTAGCAATAGCAAATGAATTATAAGAAATGGTAAAAGATGTAAGTATTAAAAACTATTTTTGTAGGTACTTGCTCTACTTATGGCTTTGCAAATTTATATGATAATAGTAATAATAAAAGGCATCATCAGAATAATTTGCAGCTAAAACATGCTGTTATCCTGTACGAGTATTTGTGTGCACAACATCAACAAATACTACGTTTTAGCTTCAAATATGTATTTACTATAATCAGCTTTAGCTGCGCTTAAGCGATTTTTAATCGAATTTACATTATAATGCAGCGTTTGTTTATAAACAAATTGCTTTTCACATCGAAAGCAACATATTCGCTGTCTGAATTGAATATCAAAGTTTTAGCTTTTTGGGCCCCACATAGTGTGCAAATAGTATCAAACAATTCGAATTCTACAAATTGTTTAGTAATATAATAAATTATTTACCCCAATAAGAAACCGCTCATATATGTTTTATTAATTTCGATTTGGTTTCCATAACATGTTTTATTGGGAATATTGAAAAGACAGTTGATATAGAAATGCTATCATGCGACGTGCTCTTAGAAGAGCTATTTCGCTAAGTTTGAGTAACTTAGTACATGAAAAGGCGAAAACAACACACTCACCCAAAAATAGCCATAATTTTAAATATCCAAGCAATGAAGTAATCCAATATAAAGTGGTGAACACAACACAACAGACGATAAATGATATACCACTATCCTGTCTCAAGCCAGAAATATCCACGTTAAAGTAAAATGCACCAAGAAATGTTAATTGTTCACAAACAATTCAAAATATCTGTACATAAATATGAAAATCTATACAATATGAACGGTTATCATCGAGAAGTTGTAGCACTTTCGCAATCATCGATGTTCAAAACAATCAGCATAAACACTGCACACCAATAAAAAGTGTTTTAAAAGTACGTAAATCACTGAGAAAAGTTCTAAAAGAAAACTGACAATAGTCCAAAAAATGTTATAAAAACTATTAGCCGGCTGAAAACAAACGCGACGCGCGGTCGTTAGTCTTTTGTCGAAACAGCGGCAAATCGCCAGTAGTGTGCTTGGTTTGCGCAACCCGTACGTAAAACAACTGAGCGCGAACAGAGAGCGAGAAGCGCGTTCCTCAGCCTACCTCGGTACGATGAAGGATTTTTTTAGCGGGGAAAGGTAGTAAAGAAAGGACCGTTTTTCGCTAGTTTTACCAAAATCTGACTACCGAGTACAAGGTTCTGGTGCACCCAAAAACCTTGATATTTTATAAGGTTGGAATGTTCAAACTTGTTTGAATCACCATTTCAACCACTTCGTCTATTGAAAACATTTTTTGGAGTGTACCTACCAAATATATTTTGCATTTCGCCTCCGGAACATTATTGTATTGTATTGTATTGTAAACTTATGAAATAATAAAGAATGAATTATTTTTGTATTTATATAAAAGAACATTTTTGTTATAATGTTTTATAATCTTTGAAAATTGGGTGCAAATCGTGAAAATAATAGGCGGATTATAAAAGCTTTCATTCAAATTCAAATTCAAATTCAAATTCAAAATTCAAAAAAATTTCAAAAAAAAAATTTCTTGTGATTTTAGAAGGCACGAAGAACATTTTTGCTGCGTTCTTTACTAAATTTGTATCCCAAAAAGTGTGTAACGTTTCTGCCATATTTTTCAAGGTTTTTTGTTTAAATGCACTGATAAATATTTTTTCCAATTACTATTAACAGCAAGTGGCCAACTAGAGAATAAACCACAAATATCTTAACGGTGATTTATAAAAATCGATTCAGAAGATCTTAAAACCATTGAAAACAAATGCACATAAAATGGGAAACAAAAAGCAAACAGAAGAAAGTCCAATTAGTATTTTAATTAGTACGACTAACGAAAATAGGAGATTGAATTTAACATCGTAAATAGCAGATTAGCAACAAAATGTAGTAGAAAATATCCAAAGAGGAAATTCATAATAAAGTGATAAACACAACATTACAAATGACAAAATAATATAACTAGTCCAGAGAATGAAAAATCAACTTTAAATTATGAAGACAAAATAATCACTAAAAATCTGAAACAAAAGGACATACGTTGATAAAATAACGAAAACCGCCAAAATGCCCCTAAATTGAAAGGCTACAAGGATAATGAAATGAGAGACTATTCAAACCTGAAGGACCGACGGAAGAATTAACGGAAATATCCAAGAAGCCGGAGTAAACTACCACTTGCCTGTAAATTTATCAATTGCAGAGCAATTACCCCGCACAGTTCAATAACCCATTTTTTCCGAGGGAATTAACCTCTACAGCATTAACAGAAATTGCTTGGATATGTTTTTTAGATAATTTAATTTAAAGTAACAATATCAGTTAGTAAACGAAAGTACATTTCATAGTGCTGGAATAGATTTTCAGCTAAAAATACTATTTATTTAATGAAAACTCTGGGAATTAACTAAATGCTCAATATATTTAAAGTAATTGCCACAATTTAAAACATTGCACTTGGTAGTCGTTTATCCGATTCATCAATAAATATTATTCGTATTCGAAATTCATGTACGTCCAATTCAAAATAACTGTGGTGAGTTATTTTTACGTTTTAAGGTGCTTAACCTCTCATTATTTTTATTTTAAAAACGTTCCGTTTGACGAGATATTACAATGAACTTTAAATTCGCTTCAATACATGATACTAATCTGAAAACATTGAAACATAACAATCGTGTTAGTTGGAAATTAAACAAAAATAAAAAAATTTCCCTCATCGTTTTCATTCAAATGCAAGGTTGAAATGCTATGCGCAATAATTTAGTGTTTTCAAGGATCATTTACTAAAAATAATTTCACCGCATGTCACATATCTTCAAGAAGTATATGACGTACCTGTTAGATTTTAAAGAGTCACAAATTGCATGTGCATGTAATATCCAGCTAAAATAAAATATGACATTCATTTCGAAAATTGCCATGAAGCAAGGGCATTATGCACGCTCTTGACTCAATCTATTAGATTTATTTATGTATTCACGTTTAAATTGACAAACAGCAGAATATCGTTCTTGGAGATAGATATGTTGCGTAATGAAGCGATTATTTTAATTACTTTCTGTTCAAGTTTTGCTGTTCCATGAGAATTCGAGAAATGGAAAATTAACGGCTATTTATATTGCTACTAATCATTCAGCAAATATCTAAAAATAATAGCACCGATCAGTTTACAGTAGCAGAACTTTATCAAATTTTAAATACAGTTTAAATACATTCGTTGAATTATTCGGTTATTCATAATTTATATGAGGTTTTTTTGCGATGGATGAACGGAGTAAACATTTTGAACAATCACTTAAGATAACTTAGACCATAAAATTAGGTGGTTTTCAAACGTTCTAATTTTCTTGGCTACGATGGACTCTTGTTTTCACCCCTTTTCAATTGAGGCGACAACGGTTATTTATTTATATCTAATCATATGATAAGTCGATCGTCGATTTAGTGCTTCCCTTTCAGGTTTTCTTGATGATTCAGAAGACACTGCGCACACTGTTCACCAAATGTACTAAAGAGTTTATTGGTAACTGCTAAGATTTTCGATCTTTTATGCCGTCGTGTAAAATAATTCCTTCCTGAAGATGCAAGCCACTCGATCTTACGAAACATCTGGAGGAAATTACTTTCAACCACGGCATGAAATCTCTAAAAACTCAACAGTTTCAATAGCGCGTAACTCTTTCAATTAACCTGGTAAATTATCAACCAATCAATTAAGGTTTTTGTTTCAATTATTATTGGCTTTGACTTTAGTTGCCATTCAAACTGGGCGAAAGCCATGCCGGTCCAAAAGAATACAGCCATTGAACACTATATCAGTAACTAGTGAAATTTGTAGTGAAAAAATGGCCACGGAATATAGATAATTCTCCATTCAGTTTTTAATTAAGAATCGATAATATGTTTAACCATCTATAAAGCCACTAAAAATGCTTCTAATAGCTATAAAGAAACATCTTGTTTGCAGATTACCTTATATTTTAGTAAGTTAACTGTTATTCTCTACATTACAACTTTAATTATTGTGTCTGTCTGTGTATCGTTATGATGATAAAAATTCACACACGCTTTATTCGGTAGATAATTCGCAATATTTATTAGAGGGAATTGGGTTTATTTATCAGTTTCCTAAAAACCAATGCTGAACTATTACTTCATAACATTTTCTTATATAAGGTTGACCAAAAAATCCGCAATCTTAAGGCAGTTAAACAGATTTACATAAACAATCTAATTTTGGTATATTGCTTTGCTCATCAAGTATCCGTAGTAGTCGCATAAATATTTGCCATTCACAAGTACCATGCAACATAACTATTACCTACCACTTTTGTTTTCTTCGGTGGCAATAAACTTCGGCGTCATCTGCGAAATGCAGAAAGAAAAGAAAATTGCAAACCAGCGCCGTAAATAAAAGAATCGGTTTAAGTGGTTCTCACGTCACAGGGAAAGTTGCTGTTTTACTTTGTAATAAGTATTTCCTTACCGCTACAATTTTTTTATAATTAGTCAATTGTTACATATTATTTTATTTTACGTGGAAGATAATCGTTCCCCAAAGATGGTAGATGTGTTGAAAATGTTGGAGCTGCCATGCCATCCAACAATGAATTATTTGATCGACTTGTCAATAATTATAAGAACAAAAGAGCAATGTGGTGGGAAGCACTTTAAGCGAAAAAGAAAGCAGGAAATCTCAGCGATTATCACATGCATATAGACACGGGAGGATGATATTAAATAATATGATTCAGTATTATTTACAAGCACTTATATACTATCAATACATTGATTCGTACTGTTATCTTTAGTAGTAAAATATCGGTTTCCTTGTAAAAGAAATAGAGCAATTTTAAAACTGAGGCAAACCGAAATACTAAGTGGAGTTATTTGTTTGAACCCCTCTATCCGTTTCCTTTAAATAATTCGAACTGTAGTAATGATTAATGGAATAAAGGAGCAATACCTATTAGCTTATTTTGCAATTTTCTGTATAGTCGCTGCAAATTAATTAGAGAGTTTATAAAGATTAAACAAGAAATCAGACAGGAAAGCAGTTATCGGATGTGACGAAAAATGTACTTTCTATAGGCAAATTGGAACAATTATTATATTTTAGTCACTGTTGAGTGAATTGTTTATTTTTTGGAAGGAAAATAAAAATATGGAAGTATACATCGATAGAAGAGTTGTAAGTTAGTTTAAATATGAGCTACTAAATACAACAACGGATATATACGGTGAGATCAAAATGGCTGAAAACAAAAGTCTGACTGGATGTTCAAATAGAGATATACAAAGTTATGTGCGATAAAGGCGCATAAATCGAACAAGTAAAAACGAAACATGGAAAAATTATGAAAATTATAACATTCATATTAAACGATTCAAAGATATGTTAGATGCGGCAAAATGGAAGCGGGAGAAGCATTTGGGAAAAAGCTGAAGCATAAACAACTGGAATATTTCCTTTAGGCTCCCAAACATTAAGAAGGGGAGAAGAGAAATAATATACTACTGATTAAAAATAGAGATGAAGTCGTAATATGGCAAGATCTAAATTGAACAGAGTAGATCGAAGAATATCGAGTAGGCAAAGCAATGGAGGGTTTATAAGCGAAGTAGAATAATTTCAAGAACCAGGAAACGAAGGAAGTAAACAAGATAAAAAAATTTACAACCAAATATTTAAGATGGAAGAAGGCTCTCTTTAGAAATAGATGAGAGATAAGTTGAACAGGAACATCCAAATAATACATTCACCAAGAGAAATTGGGTGGGACAAAGAACTGGACAATTTGTGAGGCAAAAAGTCCAGTTCTGAGCTTTGTAATATTCATAATAATGAAACCACACCAAAGGAGACTGAAGAAGACGAAACATAGACAAATACAAGTAAAGTAAAATGGTAGCACGAGGAGGACTTTTTGTAAATCCAAAGTAATGTTGATGGGATTTTGAAAAATCATACAAAGAGAGGATCAGCTAGAACAGAAATTCGAAAGAAACGAAAAAATCGGGGTAGCAGCTAAAGTTTACTATTCTCTAGAGAGAAA